TGGATCCATGCCTTATGGGGTAACCTTGAACCAGATCCCTACCAACCCTCAATCCACAGAGGGCTGGATGGAGTCTTCATCATCTGATGTGTACAGGGTCTAGCTGGAATGTCAGAGCAGAGAGATCCATGGTCAATCAATAAGGCCAGCCTGAGGCTCATGCTGGATGACTGAGAGTGACCTGGGCAGGACTCTTCAGTTAAGGCCATCATTGTGATCTTATGTAAGTCAGACTTCCTGGGTGCGTAGACCAATATTCATCCTAGAATCTTGGTGGTGATAAGTGAGCTTCATTTCTACAGTGAGGGTTGTATGTACAAGTGTGCATGTACTCTTCTTGTCTAGTCTTATTTATTCACAAGGTCTACCCCTCCTCGTTGTCAAATTCTTTTGGACTTTCCATGAAAAGACATGTCAATAAATGAATTGTTTTAACTACTGTCTTAGCTGTTCCCAAATGAGTCTCCAGCACGTGTTCATCTACACATAGGAGCAGAGATTTTTACAGCCATATTTCCTTACCTTGTTTTCAAACTTATACCTTCTCCAAATCGTATCAATCTTTTGCCATCTTGCACAAATTTCAGATTATCCAGGAAACTTTTCCCAACCCCTGCAAGCCAACATGTAACTCTCTTTCACCAAAATCTTATTGATCTTGTTCATTGTCTTGATTTCAAAGTTGATTCATTCATTTATTTCAGAAATAATGACTACCTACTATATGTAAAATGTGACGATAGGCATTGAGAACACAAAGCTGAATCAGACATAATTTTTTCTGCAAGCCATGGTGGAGTAGAAGAGGTGTGCTCTACAGAGCAAAGGCCAGGCAGGCAGGTAACAGAGATGAGAACCATAAAGTATACAATAGAAGTGCTGCCAGAGCATGGGGAACAGGAGCTTGAGATGAGGAAAAACCAGGCAAACCTTTCCCAGGGGGATCATCTTAGTTGAGTCAAAAGATTTGAGAACCTGGAGTTAGCAAGTGAGAGGATATTCCAGATAAAATAAAACAATTTGAGCAAAGATGGGGACATAGGACATAGAAGAGTGTGAAGCCTTACTACTTGAGTTAAACTGGCTTGGAGGCGGCAAGTGGGAGGTAGTTTAATTATTCTTTAAATATTTCGTGTGTATGTTGGAGCTGTTTTGCTCCTATTGATATGTCAATTCACATAGTATTTATTGAATGATCTCTAGCTCTACTATTAAACCCAGAGTATGACTCAACAGATGTCAGTGATTTAGGAATTTTTAGAACTTAGGAGATACCACATCAGATATTCCAAATCCCTTACACAATGCCCACCCCCTCCAAACCTGACATCCCCCAAATTCTAGGCACCTAATTTGTGATTCTTGCATTGAGGCCTCCACCAACTATCCCTGGTATCTCTAACTGCTGCTCTGACTTAATTACATATAAGAAATGAGAATATTTTTATAAAAGGGGAAATTCTCAGGGCCTAGAGGGGTCAACTGCTGGCCAAGAGAGCCGGAAGTCATTCCAGGGAATTTTCCAGGGCATTCATGACAAGGACTTTGCAAAAGTCCTGTAATTTTTGCATGTTTATTATTGTTTTTATGCACAATCTGTAATTATCAGAGAAATTCCTAACATGAAAAGGCCCAGGTTCTTATTCTGAGAGAATAACAAGAGACAGTGATGATTATAATGGAGGTGGGAAGGTGTGGGGCAGAGGAAGCCCATGTGATATAGCACTGAAAAGCCAAGGAGGGTCATTTTGGAGAAAATGGAAAGCAGATGGCCAGGAGACAGGTAGTCAGTGCCTGAGAAGTACTCCAGGGGACCTGTCCTCATGAGGAACCTGTGATTCTGTGACATTTGGTGGCAGTTTTAGAAAACTTGAATCAAGAAGACTTATCAGAGGAAAGGCTCTCAGAGGACAAGTGAGGGAGGAGAGCCCCTGAATGCACTGTGTGGTTTGTGGGATATAGAGCCAGGAGATACAGGTGCCAGTTTTAACCCTCATCTATCCAAGAGCCAAGTACTTGGAATAGGCTTGGCATGCAAGAGAGCCTGCCATTCATAAGGCCCAGGCTCAGGCAGAAGAGTGCCTCCAGGACTGCCCCAGAGAGCACTGTGGAGGGACAGTGACTTCCTAATTTCAGGAAATGCCCTGAGAAGGGCATTGGTGAGAAGCTGTAATCTTGCATTGACCAGACCAGTGGGCAAATTTTTGCTGTTCTCATACAAATCTTTCCTCTGATGGCCTCATCATTATTTGGGGGTTAGCAAGCATACGGCACTACAATAGGCATCATTAAAAAAAGTAGAAAATAAGAACTTTTTACTTAGGTAAAATTTTATATTTTATAACAGAAGAAATCTGAGCTAACTCACAAGAAGTCATAACTCTTAAAACTTAGAAATATTTTAGTGTATTTATTATGTGCTGGACCATTTAAAGTTATGATATTATAAAACATAAGATCTTTTCTTAACTTTTTAACATTAGGAAGGTTTAGCAGATAATCACAAAAATCATTATTCTATTCTGTTATGTGACTTATTAATACAGTATTTTTTCACACGGATAAGAAAGAAAACCAGGCATTTTGTGAGTGTATTCAGTACTCACTCTAACCACAATAATTCTAATCTAACAATGCTCCAACATATTTTCCTCATTAGTGAAATGAGGGAAATAGATATTTTTCAAGATTCCAACCAACTTGATCCTTTTGACTCAGTGGCACTAGAGACAGGGTATGCTGAGTGACAGTCAAGATATTTAACATGCATCAAACTCTGTGGTAATGGATTCTAGCTGAAGATCACCATGGATGTGGGCCACCCACCATGACTCAGAGTCTGTGTTATTGATGGGAGACTGAAACTGTTTCTTGGATTTAAAGTATTTTACAATATTTAAAACTGTATTTTAATTATTCCTAGATGATGATAAATGCAGTTTCAGAGATTACAGTCTGTGGCTGTTATTGTCTATGATACTTTTAGTTATACATGTGTATGTACATATATGCTTTATATCTAACTTGATAATTCTGAATTTCTCAGGTATTAATGTGTTAATAGATTCAACAAGGTTAAACCATCCTCTGTTTCCTATAAAATCTATTTGATAAGGGTAGGTTTTATTTACTATAATTAGGATTTTTGCAATATACTGTTGTCAAATGAGGGTATTGTAGAATAATTTCCTTTTCTTTCTTTCTTCATTTTTTTTTTTGCAGTTTTTGCCTGGGGCTGAGTTTGAACCCACCACCTCCGGCATATGGGGCCGGCGCCCTTTGAGCCACAGGTGCCGCCCCCTTTTATTTCTATTATCATTACATTTTGGCATTAGATTTTCAAATTTTGAAAAGTGAATGGGAAGGCTTTTATTTTTTCTAAGCCAGGGAAAGTTTGTATGATATAGAAATTATCTTTATAATGACAGTTTAAAATAATTTCTATATAAGAATAATAAGCTGGGAGACTATAAATGAAAGGACAAATTCTATGGAGGTTTTTTTTCCCTAGTTGTAACTGGTTTATTTAGTTTGGGGACGGTTTTGAACCAATTGTTTAAGTACAGAAGCAGATAGTATTCCATGATTATTTTAATTCACTTTCAGTCTGTGGGTATCATGACTTTTTAATTCCTTAATTTTGTGTGTCTTTAAATCTTTTTCTTCCTTAGATTTGCAGGAGATTTATATAATTTCCTTGAAATGTTTGTTTTTTAATTTTAAATTATAGATCGACAAATTATAGTTGTATATATTTAGGGGGTATAAAGTGATGCTATAATTTATGAATACAGTGTGGAACAATTCAATCAAGCTAATTAACATGACCTTCATTTGAAATTTACTTTCTTAGCAAGTTTGAAATGTGCCATACATTATTATTTACTATAATCGCCAAGCTGTGCAATGTATTTCAAAGAACAAAAACTTCCTCCTCCTGTGTAATTGAGGCTTTGCATCTTTTCACCATCATTTCTCCAACACTCTGCCAGCCCCGCCACCAACCCATCCCGAGTAACCGCCATTTTACTCTCTACTTCTTTGAGTTCAATTGTCTTCGACTGAACTTGTAACTGAGTGTATGCAGTGTTTGTCTTTCCGTGCCTGGCTTATTTCACTTAGCACAATGTCCTCCAATACCATCCATGTTGTCATAAAGGACAAAATTTCTTTCTTTTTTAAAGCCAAATAGTATACATATTACTTTTTTTATCCATTCATCTGTTAATGGACACCCAGAGTGATTCCATAAGTTGGATATTGTGAATAGTGCTTCAATAAACATGGGAGTACAGGCGTCGCCTCAACATACTGACTTCAAATATTTTGGGTAAATATCCAAGAGTGATGTTGCTGGATCTTATGCTAATTCTATTTTTAATTTTTTGTTTTCCATAAAGGCTGAATGTATTTACATTTCTACCAACAGTGTATAAGTGTTTGCTTTTCTCCATATCCTCATGAAGACTTACAGTTCATTTTTCTGATAATACCCATTCTGACAGGTGTGAAGCGATATCTCATTGTGCTTTTAATTTGCATATTCTTAATGATTAGTGATTAGCATTTTTCATGTACCTGTTTCTTTGTAATAGATTTCTAAGGACTTATAATCAATTCTTGTATTCCTTTCTATCTTACTATCTATTGGTTTTTACTTTAAGCATTACTTTTACTTCAAATCTCTTCACCTAGGTCCTTGCTGGGAGGACCTCCTTTGTTGATTGCAGGGGGAAAGGAAGAAAAGATTTATGTATCTTTCAGAAGGAGAGGGAGGAATTTCAAGGTAGTAGTGGCACCAGAAACCTCACATGGGGGTCAGGCAAGGATCCTGAGGTCAAAACAAGAGTTAATGAGTGAGTAGTAAATAACCTGAAAAATGAGACAAATACCCACTAGGGCATGTGGAAATTTGCCCAGGGTCAATAAAAGTGAGTCAATGTGTTTTCATTGAATAACCAAGCTGCAAAAACTGATTTTTTGCCCTCTGGAATGTGTTCTAACAGGGACTCATGGAGTCAGAATGTGGGGCCAATGGAACAGCCATTACTGAGTTCATCCTGCTGGGCTTGGTGGAGACACCAAGACTGCAACCAGTTGTCTTTGTGCTCTTTCTCTTTGCCTACTTGGTCACCGTTGGAGGCAACCTCAGCATCCTGGCTGCCATCTTGGTGGAGCCCAAACTCCACACTCCCATGTACTTCTTCCTAGGGAATCTATCAGTGCTGGATGTTGGGTGCATCAGTGTTACAGTTCCCTCAATGTTGGGTCGTCTATTGTCCCACAGGCGTACAGTTTCCTACCGAGCCTGTCTCACACAGCTCTTCTTCTTCCATCAGTTGGCTGGAGTGGACTGCTTCCTGTTGACTGCCATGGCCTACGACCGATTCCTGGCCATCTGCCGGCCCCTTACCTATAGCACCCGCATGAGCCAGATGGTCCAGAGGATGTTGGTGGCTGTGTCTTGGGCTTGTGCATTTACCAATGCTCTGACCCACACTGTGGCTTTATCCACACTCAACTTCTGTGGCCCCAATGTGATCAATCACTTCTACTGTGACCTCCCACAGCTCTTCCAGCTCTCCTGCTCCAGCACCCAACTCAATGAGCTGCTGCTGTTTGGTTTGGGTATCCTCATGGCAGGTGCACCTGTGATTCTCATTGTTACCTCCTACATCCATGTGGCAGCTGCAGTCTTGCGAATCCGCTCTGCAGAGGGCAGGAAAAAAGCATTCTCTACATGTGGTTCCCACCTCACAGTGGTGGGCATCTTCTATGGGACAGGGGTCTTCAGCTACATGAGGCTGGGTTCAGTGGAGGCTTCCGACAAAGACAAAGGGATTGGCATACTCAACACTGTCATCAGCCCCATGCTGAACCCACTCATATACAGCCTTAGGAACCCTGATGTGCAGGGAGCCCTGAGGCGGGTGCTCACAGGGAAGAGAGCCCTGGCATGAGGGTTGTCTCCGGAGGGTACAAACTATGGTGGTCCCTTTCTCTCCTAGATCCTTCAGCAAGAGATGACTTTTGTTGGAAAGTAAGCCTCTTGTTCTCAAGTAGAGAAAGGTCTACCTGATAATAGGTACACAGGTTGTGCAAACAAGACCACTTGGCTAGCTGTCATTTGGTCTTAGGAACTCTTCCTAGTCCAGACTAAGCTTTCTAGTACCCAGAAAGCTCTGTATCCTGGGAGAGTCACAGACCTATAGGACACTTTGTTTATTTTTCTGCCAGGGGCCCCTAAAATACCAGCAAAGATTCTCTATAAATTATTAACAAAATATAGAAATTATACCCTGGTGCCAAGTATTTGCACATCCTTCAATGAGGCTTCTCCTTAAAGCAGTTCTCCCACATAGGATTTCCACACCTGACTTTACACAATGATCCACACTCTGTACAGTATAATTTGAGACACTGATTTCTAGTAGCCTGTCTACTTTGCAAGATTCTAAAGTGTTTAACAATGGAGACTTTATATTTCCTTTGGTATTTTTTCCCTTTTTTCTAGAATGGAACTATTCTTTGATTTTTAAAATGTTCATCAGAATTATGTTTATAACAAAGAAAACAAAGCAGAACTTTACCAGTAGAAAATATAACAAAAATCTTCACCCTCTGTCTTCACTCTTCATAATTCAGTTCTCCAGAAGTAACCACTGTTAAGAATTTGGTGCTGGCTTGGTGCCCTTGGCACAGTGGTTACAGTGCCAGCCACATACACGGAGGGTGGCAGGTTTGAACCTGGCCCAGGCCAGCTAAACAACAATGACAACTGCAAACAAAAAATAGCCAGGCTTTGTGGTGGGTGCCTATAGTCCCAGCTACTTGGGAGGCTGAGCAAGAGAATTGCCTAAGCCCAAGAGTTTGAGGTTGCTGTGAGTTGTGATGCCCTGGCACTCTACCCAGGGTGGCATAGTGAGATTCTGCCTCAAAAAAAAAAAATTGGTGCTTACCCTTTTTGTTTTTTATACATATAAAAACATGTTTATATATTTTTACATCAATACAAACATGTTTATGTATATTTCATATCAGTAGGGGTATACTATGTTATTTTTTTTGTTTATACAGTACATGGTAGACACATTCCTAGTAAAATATCTAAAAACTTACCTTATCCATTTAATGGATATCTAGCATTAATTGATGAGTAAACCATAATTTATGTAACCACCATCTTTTTGCTGGAGTTTAGATTATTTCTGGATTTACTACAATTACAATCAATAATATAAAGAACATTCTTTAGAGATATGTTTCTACTGGTCTGCGAACATTTCCATAAAATAAATTCTGGTAAGTAAGATCCTGAATTGAATGAAATAAAAATTTAGATTTCTGATACATATTCACCTTTTATTCTACAACAGTTTTGCACTGCCTGCTCCCTAAATCTTTGACAACAGTCATTGTTATAAATAAATTCTTTTGAGTTTTAATAATATAATGGTTGAAAATCACAAATTATTACTTTTAACATGAATTTTTGATGTTCATATAAGATTCAATATATTTTTAAATGTTTATTATTCATTCTATAGACTGAATTATATTTCCCCCCAAATTCATATGCAGAAGCCCTGATCCCCAGTGTAACTGTATTTGGATATATGGCCTTTAGCAATTAATCAGGATTAAATGAGATCATAAATGTGGAGCCCTAACTCTATAGGATTATGGCCCCTGCCATGTGAAGACACAGTGCAAAGATGGCCATCTACAAGCCAGGGAAAGAACCCTCACCAGATGCTGACCACACTCTGCAACTCTGAATTCCTTTTTTCTTGCTTTGGCCTCTAACTCAAATCTAGCAGCCTTTTGGGTTACTCAATAGAGTCAGAATAATATGTTGCCTTCAAAATCCAAAAAGGCCTTATAAGTTTTATTTCCTTTTTTAGTGGTAAGTGGTATATCTCCTATTGGAAGGAATATCTTCACTTACTTCAAAACTTCTAGAAACTTCTCCAAAGTGGTTGGGCTCTAATCTTCTATGGATTTTATCTCATACTCTGAGGTTCTAAGTGTTACTATGGTATCTGAAACATTTGCTACTTTTACTCATCAAATGCAATCAGCATGGTGTCATTAACATAGTGAATTAGTATACTGCTTTGTAGAATGTCGAGCAAATAAGCTCTTTGTAGACTATATTAGGTTGACAATAGGACAGATGACATAGCCCTGAGGCAAGGCTGTGAAAGTGGACTGTTGGTTTTGCTGAATAAAAGCAAACTGACTAGATGGTCCTGCAAATTAGTATTGAAAAAAGCATTTTCTAGGTCAATAGTTGTGTTTCAGGTGCCAGACAGAGGTGGCTTAGTTGATTTGTTTCAGTAAAGATGTCACATCTGCCACAGCAGCTGCAACTGGAGTCACCACTTAATTGAGTTTATTATAATTCATAGTTAGTCACCAAAATCCATCTGCTACCTTGGACAGAGTCGTGAACAAATAAATGGAGATGTAATAAGTATCATTACCCCCAAAATCTCAAGTGTTGGATGGTGTCTTAGCTTTGCACTTTTTCCAGGAATTGATTTTGATTAACTGTCCTTGTAGGGAGGAACATTTGCAAGAGTTTTCATTTGTCTCTTCCTTCCTTAATGGCCTTTTCTTAATTGCTCAAAGAGCTATTTGAGGTATTCTGCCATTTCTAAGTACGTCTTTTTATATGTATAATTATACTTATATCACTAATTGTACATTCAGGAACTGAGAACATTACCATAGGGTGTATATGTGAGTGATGGGTCCACTGCAATCCAGATTTGGGTCAAGACTGTTATATCACCTAATGGACATAATCTCCCCTTTTAATCGGCATTTTGAGTCTCCAGAAATTTGTGTCAATGCAGAACTAATGTCATTTTCTCTCTGATCCACAATCACTCTAGAAAATGGCTGCAGGTATTTTAATGAAGTCTTGGAGGAAGAATTACATTATATGTATCTGTGGCAGTGCTACAAGGTTCTCCCTCAAGTGGACCAGATATTCCTCTCAGTCAAGGGGCTGCAAGTCTGTGAACTAGCTTAGTTCTGGGTGAGCATCTCACTCTCCATTTTGATGCTGTTAGTGAACTGAACAGCACCTCCTAAAGACATCAGGTCCTAATGTCTATAACCTGTGAACATTACCTTGTATATGTATAATATCCAGAAAGAACCAAAAAATGTATACACATCTTAAGAAAGGAAAAAACTGGTTGGGTGGATAATTTTCTGAGGAGGCCCTAAGAGTCTGAGGGTTGCACTACACAACCTCTCCAAGTTCCTCTTTCAGCACCTCCATCAGTAGACTCAGCTTCTCAGGGCCTGGCCTAGAATGTATTAGTAGCAGGCAATGTCACATTCCCTCCTCTCCACTCCTCCTAGCAGCACGGTGCCTCTGCTACCTCTCCCAGGATCATGGTGGGAGTCCCCAGACACAGTCCCCGTGGCCCTTGCTAACAAGACCCTGGGTGGGAATGCTCTTTATTCTCAAGGACTCAGTGAGAATTTGAGGTTAGAAAGGGCTCTTCCTGTGTTTACCTACTTTCTGGACCTTCTCCATCATCCCCAGACTCAAATCCAAGGCAGATTTCCTTCTCATTTTTAAGTTTAAGAGTCACCATATCTCTGCCCCTGGGTCTTGTTTGGACCTGGCACCTGGGAGAGCCAAATCCCTAATTTGGAGACCTGGCTCCAGTCCTAGCTCTCTGGGTGGCTTTGGGCAAGCAGACAGCTCCTCTGTGACCTCTTCTGTTACAATATCTCTCCTAACTCTCCCCATGGATTAATATGGGGGGGGGGTGGAGAGAATGGCTTTGGAGAAACTAAATCACCACGGAGGTGTAAGGCCCTTGCCTCACCACTGCAGTGTTTATTAAGGCTTGAATTCTGTACCTATTCTTCACTCTCTTATCCTCCCCCTTCTTAGGACTACTTTTGAGGTCCCTAGAGTATAACACTGTGGTGGAAAAGCCCAGTGGCAGAGAAGGTCTCAGCCTCTCTGTACCTCATTTCCACACACACACAGCCCCTCTCCTGCTTCTGGAGTAGCTCCTGCAGCTTCTTGCCTTCTCACATCCCTTTTCAGTAAACCTCTGCAGGGCCTATGCCCTAACAAGGTGAGTTCTTTCACGGCCTGCCCTCTGCTCCCATGTAACAACAGGGAAGGGATGTTAGCTATTAGTGAGTCCAGTCTCCTGATTTTACAGATGTGGGGATCAAAGCATCACAAGCAGAATTAGAGACTTCACAGGGCGATGTATCAAGTGAGAGAAAGAGCTCTGACTATAAGTCGGGGATTGAGGCTGCTTGTCCAGCACCTCCACAGTCCCCTCTTCTTGTTTTCTGATTCTATTGGGGATGAGTGGAAGGAAGGTATTCAACTCTCCTACCCAGAACCTAGTCCTTATAGGACAGTCTGTCCAGATGCCCAATACCAGCCCTGTTCACAAAGACTGCTCATAGCCCAAGAAAGGGAGCCTGGGATGTACGTGGAGCCTCTAAGAGTGGTAATCTTGAAGGGCGTCCTCACTGATCAGTCTTGGGAGTCCATCAGTCACATACATCTCAGATGGACAGTTTACAGCGGACAGCCCAGAACTTTAGGACACCATAGCTTTGACCATCATTGATTAAGAGCAAGATAGCATCTGCTAAGAGAGCATATCATTCTGACTTTTTTTTTTTGAGGTTTCTTATATTTATGTTCTTTTTTTATTTCTTATAGCATAACTACGTACATTAATGCAATCATGGGGTACAGTGTGCTGTTTTCATATACATTTTGAAATACTCCCATCAAACTAGTTAATATAACCTTCATGTCATTCTCTTAGTCATTAAGACATTCATACTCTGCTTTTAGAAAGATTCACTTGTACCCTTGTAAGATAAACCATATAGGTGACCCCACCAATTACCCTCCCTCCCCCAATCTACCCCCCTTGCCTCCCCTCTCCCACTCACT